CCGTGCGCCACGAAGGCCCTGAAGGGCATGACGCCATTCGAAGCTTGGCATGGTAGGCAGCCTGACGTCTCGTTTCTAAGGATGTTTAGGTGTATTGGCCATGTGAAGAAGACGAAGCCCTTCATGTCCAAGTTTTAGGATAGGAGCACACCGATGGTGTTCCTAGGCTACGAGGAGGGGAGCAAGGCCTATCGGCTCTACGATCCGCATGGAGGAAAGGTGGTGGTCTCGCGGGATGTGGTAATCGACGAAATGGCGGCTTGGGATTGGGAGAATCCTGGCACAGGGGAAGCCGTGGCGTCGGCGGTACGTTCGTCATCGAGCATTTGGTGATCCACGGAGGAGGCGATGCAGGAGCAGAGGATCCAACTACGGACGCGCCAAGTCCAGCAGCTGTGGCGGCGTCGGTTGAGCCGCAAAGTCCAGCCATGGCAGGCACAGGCGAAGAGTCTCCACTAGCAGCTGGGCACACGCCCCCACCACAGTCCCCTACTGCGACAGGACATGGGACACCTCCAGCGACAATAGTTGAGTTTACCTCTTCTCCAAGTGACATCAACGAGTATGTGGATGCCTTCCACGACGATGAGGAGGTGAGATTTCGCAGGATGGACAACCTCGTTGGCAACTCGGTTGTACCAGGTTTTGCGAGCCGATTACTCGACAATCAGAAGCTGCTCCATATATGTGCAGAGGAGCCATCGACTTTCGCGCAGGCCGAGCGCGATGTCAATTGGAGACGAGCTATGCTAGAGGAGATGAAGGCGATCGAGGATAATGAGACGTGGGAGCTCGTCGATCGGCTGTCATCCAATCGGGCTCAAATGGGTCTACAAGGTCAAGCGGGACGAGTGTGGCACCATAGTCAAGCACAAGGCGCGCCTCGTTGCTCGCGGTTTCGTCCTGCGTGAGGGCATCGACTTTTGAGGAAGTTTTTGCAACAGTGGCGCGCATGGAGTCATTTCGTCCACTGCTGGCCATGGCGGCAACGAAGGACTGGCGCATTCATCACCTGGACGTGAAATCGGCCTTCCTCAAGGCGAGCTAGCGGAGACTGTCTTCGTCAAGCAAGCCCCGGGGCTTCGCCGTCAAGGGAGAGGAGCACAAGGTGCTGCAGCTGCGGAAGGCACTCTATGGGCTGCGACAAGCCCCACGAGCGTGGAACGCCAAACTCGATACCACCCTGGGTGCGCTTGGGTTCACGCGCTGCGCGACAGAACACGCTGATGCGGAAGTGGTTATCAACCCGGTGAGTCCGAGGACGAGT